AGAGAGTCAGAGAGAGACACTGAGAAGAGAGTCAGAGAGAGAGAGAAAGTAAGAGGGCCTAAGAGAGAGATCTTTGCAGCCATGCATTTTAACAGCTTCACCAATCGATCAGATCAAGGACGGGTGGTGTTCTTGCAGCAGTAGCAACATTCCTCCTGTCCCGACCTGAAAAAAGCTGCTGCTCTCTTTCTTCTACAGAGGAAGTGACGAAAAAAAAGAAGCACTGTCAAAGAGGAGGCATGACACTTTTCACAGGCGAGCACAGGCTTTTCACAAGCTTTTGAATTCTAAAAAGGAGCAGAACTTCTTTCGATTTGGAGTGACATGTTGTTTTATTCTCCTGCTGCAATGTGATCTTTTTTTCCGCCCCTCGCCATTCACACACTTTCAGTTGTCCCCGTTCACACACGCATGCGCACGCATGCACACACAGTGATGCTCAGCCAATCACCTCCCAATGTGTCTTGGCCAGGGTCAATGTTCCTCTGCAGTGTATTGAACCTCTCGAATATAGATGGCCGTACAGTGCTTCTGTTTGTGTAATACCTTAGTTTGCATACCGATCTTTCTTTGCCATTCAGTGTCAGCTTTATTTGGCAGGGTGTTATGTTTGTTCCTGTTTTAGATGACATAGACATTGGCTGCATTCCAAACACGTAAAAGACACACCCTCTCCCCTCAGCCCTCAAATTAAGTGGACATTTCTGATGACGTATCATGACGTATGATGAGTTGACACTTGCAGGCCAAGGGGCGAGGGAAGACTGAATTAATTTTAAATGGACCACCCTTGCCTGGAAATGTGTCACTCGTTCGTCCCACGGTTGTGTTTTCAGTCATCATGGAACCACCGGTAGCTGTTGTGTGTGCTTTATATGCGCTACAGTCAATTATGATTGCATTTCATATCTTGGCTAGAAGACAACGCATCCGCAGACATCGAATGCTAGCCATCCGACGATATCAGGTAAATTACAATGTATAAGTGTGATGTCAGGGAAAGTTGTATGTGGTAGCTAACGTTTCCCAAAGCTAACCAAACAAAAACATCATTACTTTTACGATACGTGTTTGTTCCGTCATGTGCATTAGTAGCACAATTTCTAACTTATTTACATTAGTTTTTTACTTACACTTGTATGTTGACTTCTCCATATTGATTTTGGTTTTAAGTTTTGGCAGACTTTTCTTAGCAAATGTACAATCATCACGAATTGAATTATGGGGCGTCAGGCCCCGGAGTGAACAGAGTTGTACACTCGCAAACTCGATCACAAACTAGGGCTGAGGGGCTTACGTTGCCAACTTCCCTTGCTTGGCTAATTGTTTGGACCGACGGCAAAGATGGCCGCGGGGATTCCCCCAAGGGCATAAGGCGAGGGTAAGTGGAGGAGGGTGTGTCTTTTATGTGTTTGAAACGCAGCCAGTGGCTTATAATGTGTGTCATTCGAGTCCTCATCAGACCCTAGATATTCTCTCTCTTTGGCATTTTCGCTTGTTGCCCCTGACGTCAAAAACAAGTTGCTTCCCTAGTAACCGGCTTGTTGAATGATTCTCATGCCGTTGATTATTCAGACACTCTGCCTCCATCCCAATGACACCCTATTCCCTATATAGTGCACTACTTTTGACCAGAGCCCTATGGGCCTTGGCCAAAAGTAGTGCACTATATAGGGAATAGGGTGTCATTTGGGATGCAGTTTTCTCTCTGTAGCTCTCCTCTCTGCCTTTCACCTCCATGTTAACTCCCCTAAAAGCCACTCACACTGGAGAGCAGCGCAGTGCTGGGGCAGAACAAAACGTCCTTTGTTATTCTCTCTCTTTCTCACGGCGGTCGAGATGGCTTCTTTGCCTGCCTATTTTGACACATTCATTAAAAGCGTGGCACAGTAACTGCACAGACAGACAGGGTTGGAGAATTTAGACGTTTTAGTCCAAACAATTCACTCCTCAGTTTGATATGCGTCACTGAGAGCAGCACAGAGGAGTCTAGTCTCTACACTCTAATGGTATGGTTCTAATACACCCCATTCAGAGTAACATTAGCGGTTAGCGGTTACCATTGATCAGTGCTGTGACTTTAGCGGTTAGCGGCTGGCTGGATATAGAGCATTGTTTGGATAATCCCATTCCAGGCTGGGATTGGCTGGGACAGGGTTCAGCCAGGGTTCAGCCAGGGGTCAGAGTTTGGTCATAGTGTTTAGATGGGTGGGTCATCGCTCTGACAATGGTCACCGGTATGTTCTCACGGTCTCCGCCCACAGGTGCCCCAGGACGAGTGGAGTGGGGGATTCTCGCCCCTAGGGAAGGACGAGGAGATCCCATGCCGGCGGATGCGCAGCGGCAGCTACATCAAGGCCATGGCAGAGGAAGACAGCGGTGACTCGGACTGCAGCCCCAAGCCCTCGCCCAAGGTGCAGGCACGCCGGGCCAGCTACCTGAAGGCCACACAGCCATCGCTCACCGAGATGACCACCCTCAAGTGAGTAGATACGTACTAGCTCTTCCCTTATGTTCGATTCGGCCGACACCTTTTATGTTCCGAGTCAATTTGACCCGTACAGTAAGTACATCAAGATCATAAATATATGATTTTAGCCTCCCAAAATGTATTTTCCAGTAGCTGAGAATAACCTCTTTCATATGCCTTTTCCCCTGAGTTGATAGACCCAACTGTTCAAAATGTATAGCCAAATCTTTGATTACTGTACCGAAGTCGTAAATCAATCAAATTATGACATTTTATGATGTTCATGACATTTTTTGCTCATTCTTTGCCAAACTTCGGATCACTGTCCCTCTGCCTCTGAATATCACAGGGAAAACATACTTATATCCTTGTGATCATCATTGACGGAGCTTTACTGCACAGAATACCATTTGCCTCTAGCACAAAGGTCAAGGTCAAATTTACTTCAAATTTACTTCAGATCATACTTACAGTATATCTATATGATCGTCATTGTTGCACCCTTCCTGTGCAGAAAGCAGCTTGTTTCTAGGAAACACTGTTCAAAGGTTATATAGACCAAGGTCAAGGTCAAATTGCTGAGGTCAAATTGTGGGTCAAATTGATTTCAGATCTGTATTTCTCAGCCTCTGAGCATCATAGGGAAATCATATACAGTATATGTGATCAGCATGGTTGTACCATTCCTGTGCTGGAAGTAGCTTGTTTCTAGGACAGATTTGCTGGGGTCAAAATGCGTGTTTAAATTTACCCAGAACATCATGGATGTCACATTTTTTATTTTTTTATTTTTTTATAGTGTTTTACAAGTTTGAGACCCATACTTAGGAAAGTAGATGAAAGGTCATGGTGGAAAAATTACTTAAATTGGGAAGGGCTAGGGGAAATAACGGTAGTTGGTGTGTGTGTGTGTGTGTGTGTGTGTGTGTGTGTGTGTGTACGTGTGCTTGTTTGCATGTGTACAGCAGACCTGGGCAGAAAATACAGTACTTTATTTGAAAATACCAACTTTTCTAATACTCGAGGGAGTCGAATATAGTTTCTATAGAGTTTGATATGACTCAAATACAGGTCTCAGAAAAACAAATAATATTTGAAAGTATTTTGAATACCTCTCAGAAAACCAAATAATATTAAGGTATTTGAATATATGCAAGTTATTTGAAAACAAAAAAAGATTTATTTGATGGCTGCCAAATATTTGTTGAAGAACCAAAAACTACAACAGTTAGTTGAATTAGTCTAAATATATGATCATTAGCACATGGTTTGGAGGGCTCTCAGATATTCATCTTAATGTAGCCTTTAGCCTAGAATGAAATACATGAGGGACATGGAATCACCTCAACATTAGAATAGACCACTTTTGCAGCTTCCAAATGACTAACAAATATTTTCATAATGATTGAGACACAAGGTAATGCAGTAACACTTGACATCAAGTTCTTATACATGTTTAGTAACTGTGATTACTACAATAACAACATCAACATTGGTGTTACATAGGACTTTCCTTATAATTGCACATCAATGGCGTTATTACATAAGTGGAATAAGGAACAGTGACTATTCCTCTTGTATACAGTTGTTACAAAAACTCTCAGCTCATTGCTATGCAATTAAAATGCAAATACCAAAGTATTATGTATATGCTAATAAAATAAAATGCTCCAAAAGTAATTGCAGTTTAATTACACAGGCACTAGAACAGTTTCATGTTAAGTGGTCCTCTGTAGCTCAGCTGGTAGAGCACGGCGCTTGTAACGCCAAGGTAGTGGGTTCGATCCCCGGGACCACCCATACACAAAAATGTATGCACGCACGACTGTAAGTCGCTTTGGATAAAAGCGTCTGCTAAATGGCTTATTATTATTATTATAAGTGTTACTGAGAATGCTATCAGTAACAAAATATGGCTATTGTGTAGAAAGACAAAACATAAAAGAGAATGAGATCAACCCTCAAGGCGTGTGGTCAAATTATTAACATGAGCGCCAACGCTGATAAATACACTGTAAAAAATGTATTGTAATTTTTACAGTAAATTACCTGCAGCACAGTAGCCAGTAAATTACTGTAGACTTACAGGAAATTGTTTATAGATTCCACAAATACAGTATGGTACTGTATTCTGGCACTGAATTACAGTAAATTACTGGCAGGACAGTAGTTAGTAACTTACTGTAGATTTACAGGATAAATACAGTGAAGGAAAAAAGTATTTGATCCCCTGCTGATTTTGTACGTTTGCCCAATGACAAAGAAATGATCAATCTATAAATTTAATGGTAGGTTTATTTGAACAGTGAGAGACAGAATAAAAACAAACAAATCCAGAAAAACGCATGTCAAAAATGTTATAAATTGATTTGCATTTTAATGAGGGAAATAAGTATTTGACCCCTTCTCAATCAGAAAGATTTCTGGCTCCCAGGTGTCTTTTATACAGGTAACGAGCTGAGATTAGGAGCACACTCTTAAAGGGAGTGCTCCTAATCTCAGCTTGCTACCTGTATAAAAGACACCTGTCTACAGAAGCAATCAATCAATCAGATTCCAAACTCTCCACCATGGCCAAGACCAAAGAGCTCTCCAAGGATGTCAGGGACAAGATTGTAGACCTACACAAGGATGGAATGGGCTACAAGACCATCGCCAAGCAGCTTGGTGAGAAGGTGACAACAGTTGGTGCGATTATTCGCAAATGGAAGAAACACAAAATAACTGTCAATCTCCCTCGGCCTCGGGCTCCATGCAAGATCTCACCTCGTGGAGTTGCAATGATCATGAGAACGGTGAGGAATCAGCCCAGAACTACACGGGAGGATCTTGTCAATTATCTCAAGGCAGCTGGGACCATAGTCACCAAGAAAACAATTGGTAACACACTACTCCGTGAAGGACAGAAATCCTGCAGCGCCCGCAAGGTCCCCCTGCTCAAGAAAGCACATATACAGGGCTGTCTGAATTGTAGGGCGGCAGGTAGCTTAGTGGGTAAGAGCGTTGTGCCAGTAACCGAAAGGTCGCTGGTTCTAATCCCCGAGCCGACTAGGTGAAATATCTGTCGATGTGCCCTTAAGCAAGGCACTTAACCCTAATTGCTCATGTAAGTCGCTCTGGATAAGAGCGTCTGCTAAATGACAAAAAACATTTAAAAATGTAAGGACTGAAATCCTGCAGCGCCCGCAAGGTCCCCCTGCTCAAGAAAGCACATATACATGCCCGTCTGAAGTTTGCCAATGAACATCTGAATGATTCAGAGGAGAACTGGGTGAAAGTGTTGTGGTCAGATGAGATGAAACTGGAGCTCTTTGGCATCAACTCAACTCGCCGTGTTTGGAGGAGGAGGAATGCTGCCTATAACCCCAAGAACACCATCCCCACCGTCAAACATGGAGGTGGAAACATTATGCTTTGGGGGTGTTTTTCTGCTAAGGGGACAGGACAACTTCACCGCATCAAAGGGACGATGGACGGGGCCATGTACCGTCAAATCTTGGGTGAGAACCTCCTTCCCTCAGCCAGGGCATTGAAAATGGGTCGTGGATGGGTATTCCAGCATGACAATGACCCAAAACACACGGCCAAGGCAACAAAGGAGTGGCTCAAGAAGAAGCACATTAAGGTCCTGGAGTGGCCTAGCCAGTCTCCAGACCTTAATCTCATAGAAGATCTGTGGAGGGAGCTGAAGGTTCGAGTTGCCAAATGTCAGCCTCGAAACCTTAATGACTTGGAGAAGATCTGCAAAGAGGAGTAGGACAAAATCCCTCCTGAGATGTGTGCAAACCTGGTGGCCAACTAACTACAAGAAACGTCTGACCTCTGTGATTGCCAACAAGGGTTTTGCCACCAAGTACTAAGTCATGTTTTGCAGAGGGGTCAAATACTTATTTCCCTCATTAAAATGCAAATCAATGTATAACATTTTTGACATGATTTTTTTGTTGTTATTCTGTCTCTCACTGTTCAAATAAACCTACCATTAAAATTAGAGACTGATAATTTCTTTGTCAGTGGGCAAACGTACAAAATCAGCAGGGGATCAAATACTTTTTTCCCTCACTGTATACACAAATAAAAAAATACAGTATGGTACTGTATTCTGTGGGGTTCAGCATTCTCACGAATGGGTGCAACAAATACAGTCTCTTACAAGGCACGCCTCAAAATATGTTAATAAGCCAGAGATTCTTTCACCGCCCACAACGCACCATAATTCACAGTATGCTGGTCTAAATATACAGCACAAACTCATCATTACACTTTTGTTGTTCTAAATTAAATCAACCTCTTCACCGTCCTTATCATTCAGTTAGGCCTAATTTTAATTAGATTGTGAAGTAACATGCACAATTATTGCCCATTCATCAATTTGTCATTCATTCAGTGGGCTGGCATCGTTTGTTTCCCCTCGCTCATCAACTCAAATAGAGTCAAGGATATGTTTTGCATTATTCTAAAGGCCTACTGCAACATGTAGCATGTTTTCGTTTTCCTAACAATACATTTGATTAGTAATAGAGTTATAGTAAATAAAACAGCCCTGTAACAGCTTATTTTTACAAAGTAAAACATAAAAGACAGTAATATCAACCCACAAGGCGTGCGGTCAAATTTTTTGCTATAAACATGAGCGCCAAAGCTGATAAATAGGCATAACACAAACTCATCATTACACTATTGTCGTTCTAAATTAAATCAACCTTTTCACCCTCCTTATCATTCAGTTAGGCCTAATTCAAATTAAATTGTGAAGTAACGTGCACAATTATCGCCCATTCATCCATTTGTCATTCATTCAGTGAGGAGAGAGAGACGCATTAGCGCCTGGCTGGGTACCAACGTCCTACAGCACATTGTCTTGGCGGGTTAAGTTGGGAATAGGTGTGGGGAAAAAACATGTAAAAATGCTCTAAATACTTTTCTGTTTGTGATTAGAAAATTCTAACAAATGAGCAATGTAAAATATAAACATTTAGGAAGAGTCAGGGAAGGAGCAGGACGTATCTTTTTTTT